TGTATTTTTCATTAGTAAAAGAACTCCGAGAACCGTTCTAGTTACCCTGGAACATTTGAGTACTTCATATTTCTTTGTGCTGTTTTTCCGGCCATGTTTACTCAATAAACAAGGAGCTCATCAGCCCCTGGGGCAGGCATCAACACTGCATAGGAGAAGTCTTCTAGCTGGAGGGATTGTAGAAGCACTAGGTTTCAGAAAAGCTGCTTTTTGGTCAGAGAAGCAGCAGCAAACAGGTCTTTGAGGAAGTCAGCGTTCTCATATGGCACACACCGTTGAAAGTCAGACCTTCAGTCAGAACTGTCAATTGCTATAATCTGAGAAATACTTTCACTGAAAAACCAGTGATGCCATTTCTAAATTTTACTTCCATAATACCAGTCAATTCCTGAAAATCCCTTATCATCTCCTTTGGTCTGTCTCAGAGTCAATGGAGTTCACCATTCAAGAAACACTATAAAAACACTTGTATTAAAAGTGCAATAGCAGGAGCCAGGAGGTGGCATGGAGGTTAAGGTGCTGGACTTCCACAAGTCCTAGACCTGGTGGCTTGAAAATTACACATGTGCATGCATGCCCAATATCCCTGGAGGAGAACAGAAGGGACTGTGGTAGGGTCATACCCCCGGGGGTGATTTCTCACCTTCCCTCTCTGTCTCTCACCAATGAGCGCACGCACCCTGTGGCAAAAACCTAAAAACAAACAAATCAAAAAGTGAGGTAGCACCCCAAACAAGTTGGAAACTTATATCCACACTAAGATCTGCACACACATGTTCACAGCAAATTCATAACTGCCAACACTTAGAAGGAACACGTATGTCTTTCAATAGATGAGCGGATAAACCATGGGATATCCAGACAACGGGACATTATTCAGGACGAAGAAGAAATGAGCTATCGGGCTGTGAAAAGACAAAGAGGAAACTTAAACGAATATTACTAAGTGAAAGCCCATTTGAAAAGGCTGCATGCTGTGTGAGTCCAGTGATACCACATTCTAGAAAAACCAAAACTATGGACTCAGTAAAAAGATCAACAGTGGCCAGAGGTTGAGAGGTATGACTAGGCAGAGCAGAGGGGATGTTTAGGATAGTGAGACTACTCTGTATAATTTCATAATTTGTCCAAACCCACGGAACACACAACACCAAGAGTGAACCCTAATGTCAACCATGGTCTTCCAGTAATGATGACATATCAATGTACGTTCAACAACTGTTATAAATGTCACTTTTGGGGGGATGTTGATCATAGGGGAGATCATTCCTGTGCATAGCAAGGGGTATCTAGGAAATCTCTGTACCTCTTTCTTAATTTGGCTATGAACCTAAATCTGCGCTAAAGAAAAAGTCTTAAAATTAGGTTTGTTTGTTTTTTTTTTTTTTTAAATGGCTCCAGGGCCTGTTCCTTAACAGGGCAGCCACTACTCAGCACCAATCAAGGGTTGTAAATTCTGTGGCACAAATATTGCCTCTGCGATTGGAATTTAGCTTATAGGTTGCCTGGAATCCCCAAGTCAAGGATCATTAACCTGGCTAGAGTACCCCGAAATCCTAAGTGGCTCCGAGAAAGATCAACCCAAAATATAAACTGCCTCAAGCAAGTATTTTTGCAACCAGTCCAACATCCTCTAGAGATGGAGCACCTCCTGATTACGGCCTCTTCTTGGCAATGCTCTCTTCCTTTTTGAAATGCTTCTGGGATGAGTTGAGAGCCAGAGGTTTCTCTCAGAGTTAAGTAAGTGCCCCATGGAGATCATGCAACCAGCTGGGTTGGCCAGGCAGCTCCCCCAGGGGCAAATGCCAATTAGCTGGGCTGTTTGTGTTCTTGGCACCTTCTTTCTGGATTGAAGAGTTCACATTCATTTACAAAAATCACACAATTCAGGCAGCTCCAGAACAGAAAACAGAGCAGCGTGTGTGTGCCCCGGGAAGGAGGAGCTCTAGGGGAAGGCACACGGGGGCACCGGGTGGGAAGGGAGGCTGCCCCGAGTGTTCCCGTTATTCACTCCTCTCCCCCACACATTCTACTTGACTGGTAAAATCATTAGGAAAACACCTTTCAGGGCAGGCTTAAGACAAGAGAGTTTTATTTGACTCTCAGGAAAATAGCTCCAGCGGCACGTCTTGCGATCAATGACCAGCATGACTGCAGCCTCTGCTTTGGAAAACCACACTTGCAGCCAAGAGTTCAAGGCCCATCTCCAAAACTTCTGAGGCTGCCCTTGCAAGGGAAACTCTCCCCCGGATCCCCTGCATGACATATGCTGGGCGGACTCGGGAGGAAGTTGGAAAAGCTCCTTTGCCTGAAAGTCTGCAGAAAGAAATAGAGCCCCTGCTGAGCTGTGCTGGGGGGTTAACAGAATAAAACAGCATCGTGGTCAAAGGAAACCCCAGCTTGCCCTGCAGAACGCGGCTGCCCCAGATGGAAGTGAACAATTCCGTGCACTACCCCAGAGCTGAGTCCTTTAAAATAGGACATTGGATACTTGTTAAAAGCAATGGGGTGGAAGAGATGCTTCTTCAAAACTATTTTTTAAACAGTTTTAATTACTGAGGCCAAATAATATCACTGGTTTCACAAAAAGAGTATGGCTTTGGAAAGGGAACTGGACAACCATCAAAACATTGTCAGTCCACAAGTGGATACGCTTGTTCCACTCCCTTACGTTATTGCCTTTCTACATTTGCCTCTTTAAAATGTTGCTTTGTTGTGTGAACTGGAAACACCTTTTTTAATGTCCTATTTTGAATATCTTATCTGATCCAAAAGGCTTCGAGATCAAAATATATATGCCCTTTTTTTATTATATTTTTTTTAACTTTTTGCCATAGGGCACATGCAGTTGCCAGACAAAGAAAGTGAGAAATCACTCTCCAGAGGGGACTGCCACACCACAATCCTTTCTCCATTCTCCTCCCGAGATTTTGGTCACACACACAAACACACCCAGTGTGACTTTCAAACTGCCAGTTCTGGGACTCAAACCATGATTAGCCATGTGAGAATTTGGCGCCTTAACCACCACGCCACACACTGGCCCCTAGGTATGGTTTCTTCTCCCATGTTTATGGCACATGTTAGATGATCCCTCTACAGAAGAAATGGGTACTCTCGTTGTGCAGAGTAACTAGCTAAGTCTGGCTAAGCCTTCATTCACCCCAGCTAGTTGGGGTATCTAGAGCACATGTACAAATGCCTATTTTGTTATTCTAGGTTTTTGCTAGAGGGTGCTTGCCAGAGACAGAGAGACAGAGTGGAGAAAGCACCCCTGCCGTGGGGAATGGTCACACTTGCAATGCCTTCTCCATCTCTCCCTCCTTTTGGGATTTTGGGCATACATGCATACACGCCCTGCTACTGGGTCCAGGACTCAAACCACACAGTCAGCAGCGTGGAGTCAGCTGCCTTAACTACCAGGCCATGGAGTCAGCCCCAAATGTCTATCTTTAACAGTGAAGCTAAATCATGAAACTGCAGTCTGGATCCCTCTCCACTTAATATATAAAAACATTTATCCTTTTATTTGACTGTCAGTTTTCTCATTTTAGTTGATAGAGTATGAATTTAACTAAATTGTGCTCATATTCTTCGTCCAGCAGACATTTATGAAACAAGCATTGAACACCAAGTACGCACACCTGGGCACTATTCCACTTAGTAACAATGACTGCGCAAGTAGACCATGAGGTGATGCAGGCTTACCCCAAGGGCCAGAGTCATGCTGGAAACCAAAGAGGGTTCAAGACTTGAAAACATTAGGAAATACCATTAAAGGGGCCAGCAGGTGGTGTGGTGGCTAAGGTACTGGACTCCCACGTGGCTGGCCATGGTTCGAGTCCCAGACCTGGTGGCTTGTTCTCTCTCTCGAGCGCGTGCATACACATAAACTTACACATGTGCCCTGTAACAAATTAAAATAATAATAAAATACAATAAATACCTTTAAAAAAAAAGAAATACCATTAAAGAGGATTTCATTTCCAACCTCTGAAATCTTTCTTGATTCTTTTTCCTCCTTCCTAATTCTCACTGTACAAATGGCAACAACAAAGTCCTGTCCTCTTTGTGCCTTGTCTTCAGGACATTGACCCTGCTTCCACATGGCCTACTCTCTTCCCTTCTGTGTTCTACAGTTTTGATATATAGGTGGGCTCAAACTCTCTTAGGTAACTTTCCTCCTCACTGGGATTCTGCAGGGTTAAGAAAGTGGAGTAGAGTATAAATGAGGGCCTCAGAAACACAGATGTTAGGTATACTGTAGTCAGAACTATATGCATCCTATAGGTTCTTGAAATCATCAGACTGGACATGCTTAGAGAATTCATCACGGACAGGGATTTGCAGGTCCTGTCCAGAGGGGCAGTGTGGCTCAGACCCAGCAGGAGAGGCGGATTAGGACTGATGACCTCTGAACCTACTAGACTGTCAGTGGACTTTGGGCAAAGCACTCCGCCAGCTGGGACCTGGCTTCCTTATCTTTAGCTGGGAAATTAGGACTAGGTGATTCCTTGAGCCACATGTAAGATAATAAGGGTAGGGACTCTAATTGTAGCAGTGAGGGTAAGAGAACAAAAGAAGAAATGCCAGGGTTTCATGAAGTCTAGATTTGGGTAAAGGATGAGAAGCGGGGGAAATCATGGGGGGGAAATCGTGTTCAGATTTTCAACTTGTAAATATGAAAACTGATATAGAATCATTTGGAGGCTTAGCACCAGCCCCATGCTCATCAAAGAGAACAAGGCAATCATTGAAAGGAAGTGAAGTTAATGAGGGTCAAGCTGATAAACAGACATCCGCTTGCCAGTGTCCCCAGGCGGTAGGGGTTTTGAGAACGAACATGGTAGACTCATTTTGGTGGTTCCAATAAACCACACCTCCGGATACTTCCTCTTTGTGTGGCCCCTCCCATGCTGACTAAATTTAGCCAATGGGACCTTAACAAACATGATGTAACAGTGGCTTACACGCTGGAACTTACTCTCTTGGAACCTTTGCTCTTGAAATCCAGCCACTACGTACAGAAGCCCAAGCCAACCTCAGGGTGAGGCCACATGGAGAAAGAGACCCTGAGGCATCCTATCACGCCTGCCAAGGTGCCAGATGTGTCAGTAAAGCCATTTCCAATACTCCTGTCACAGACACCATTTGACTGCTATTGCACAAGAAACCCCAAACTATACTAGCAGGACTAAGCAACTGCACCCCAGTCACCCACAGAATCGTGGGAGATAGTAAAATGGTTCTTTGGCTACAGAGTTTTGAGATGTTCATTATGTGGCAATAGATAAAGTACCGGAAGTCAGGTGAGACTGTAGGACTCTAAAGGGGAGATTTCGGAATAACAGTGTAACAGCTTCCTACTATCTGATGGTACTATATACTAACTACTCTGCCTTTGTTATCACTAATATTCACAACAATACCAATAGGTAGCTCTTAGCTAATACCTCTACTTGGTAGATGAGGAAACTGGTATTTAAAGAAAGGAGGTCATTTACCCAAGGACAAAGAACTGGTAAGGCACAGCTGAGACTGTTACCTGCACAGGTGTGAGACAAAACTGTGAGAATGACCTCATCAGAGGAATGAGAATAAAGAACAAAGTTGGGGTGTGAGGGTGGCAGATGGTGGTGCAGCAGTAAAACGTGATGCTCTGTGGCCCACATGGGAAGACTCGATTCAAATCCGGAGATCTTCCTGAATACGCGGGCACACACGGGCCCATGATCTGGGGCTGGCTAAAGCTGGAGGTGACTGCAGCATCCAGACCCTGTCAGGGATGCTGCTTTTCTCTTTCTCTCTTACAGATAAAATAAAATTTAAAAAGAAAGAGAGAGAGAGAGAGAGGCTGAGGCTAGGGACAGGACCAGGAAGAACCACCACTTGATTAGTTTTGTATTTTCTCCAACTGCAAGAATAGTTGTTTGAGCTAGCAGGTGGCATGGTGGTTAAGATGCTGGATTCCCACATGGCCAAGAGCAGTTCAAATCCCAGACCTGGCAGCTCGAAAGTCATGTCGGGTGCATGTGTACCTAAAATACTGACAGGAGAGTGGAGGAAAAGGGATTGCAGCATGGCCATCCTGCCAGGGCTGGGGTGGGATTTCTAATTTTCCCTCTCACTGTCTCTCTCTCTGGCAAGTGCATATGCCCTATGACAAAAAGTTGTGTGTATACACACACATATAAATAAAAGAATAGCTGTTCAACATATTCTAAGAAAGGATTCAATTCTAGCCCCTATTTAGAAAGCAAGTGCCTACTGTCACTCTACCCTGTACTTCAACAGTATCCCCTAGAGCTCCACGTAAGCCGCATCTCGACTGAAGGCATCTAGCCTCACATCTCTATCTACTGCAGGATCAAGGGCTGTTAACCACTCCCAGACCATCTCCAGGGACAGGAAGCACCAATCATCACCCAACAAACAGCATCCTCTTTTTGGTGAGCATACTCTTCTTTTGGCTATGCCTATTTGTTTCTCTCTCTTTTTTTTTTTTTTTTAAGTTTCTTTCTTTTTTTTTGGTTTTGTTTTGTTTTTGTTTTTGCTATAGGGTATGTGAATTCATGAGAGCAAGAGAAAAAGTGACAAATCACCCCTAGGGAGAATGGCCACACCACAATCCCTTCTCCCTTTTCCTGGGATTCTGGGCAAACATGCACACACACCTATTATGCACAAGCCACCAGGTCCAGGACTCGAACCACAAAGTCAGACATACAGGATCCAGCCTCCCCAACCATCATACCACTGGCTGGTCCCAGTCATCCCTATTTCTGATCAGTCCTTTCCAAAACATGATTCTTTGATCCTCCAGCAAAATTCAAATAATTAGAGTGTGGACCAAGGAATCACCTAGTCCCAATTTCCCAGCTAAAGATAAGGAAGCCAGGTCCCAGCTCGAGGAATGCTTTGCCCAAAGTCCACTGACAGCCTAGGTTCAGAGGTCACCAGTCCTAATCTGCCTCTCCTTCTGGGTCTGAGCCACACTGCCCCTCTGAAGCATGTCACTATCATTTCCTCGTTTGCCATACATCAAGGAACAGATGGTTGAAATACTGCTAAAAGTGTACCTTGATCCAAGCAACTAATTGACACGTGGGGTCAAGGGAGGGGGCTATCATTAGAGAATGGATAGAAATACCAAAATGTAAGAGATCTTTTCTTCCCAAAGACCATCTTCTTACATTGCCTCACCTTCTTCTCTATAATAAAAAACCTCATAGTTCACTGTTATAGTACACAACATTTCTTCTTAAAATATCTAAGAGAAAGTAGACAAGTCATAAGTGAATAGCTTCTGGCCTTGGTACTTACACTTCTATCCCAAAAAAGGAGCCTAAAATCACAACTATTGAATGTATTTCCTTCCCCTGTGCCATGCAGACTTGTCATTTCACTTTCTTTTCCTCCCTTCTCCTTGTCAGATTTGGAACATTCTCCAAAGGCAGTGCCAAGAGTCCCACACTACTCATTACTTGGGAGTTTTCCATGTGAAAGTCTTTCTGCCTGAACCTTCTCTTGTTTGTCTCTATTTGTTTGGGGATTTTTTTTTTCTCTTCTATTTCTACTTCCATTACTTCCCTTCTCTCCTGACTTGTCTTTTTCCCTCTTCCTGATTCTTCCAAGAGATATATGAAGCTATGAAAGAGAAAAAAAAAATCTTAAAAAAACCCCCAAACATCCAATAAAGACATCCACCATTGCCTCAGTGTTATTTCTAGAGAAATAAAGAAAGGCTTTAGGCACAGAAAATAATTTTGTTTGAGATGCTCTGAATTGAAATCTCCTATCTTAGGCAGGAAAGAGAGTTTGATCCTCCCAAGTACATTGTTCCAAGACCAGAAACAAATACATCATTTTTGCTCAACTCACATCATCACTGTTTTTTTCTCAAGAATTTTGAAAGTATTCTACTATTTTTTTTTAAATTTGCCAGATAGCACGTGTGCTCACAGAAACGAGATGAGAGGATGTGAGGGCAAGAAGAAAGTGAGCAATCACCACCACCACCACCCCCGCCAGGGGGAATGTCCATCTTGCAATCCTTTCTCCATTTCTCCTTTTGGGATCTTGGGCACACATGCACACATGCCTGGCATGTTTCTCAAGCCACTGGGTTCAGGATTCAAACTATTCAGTTGGCCATGTAGGATCTAGCCACCTTAACCACCATGCCACGGGCTAGCCCTTCTGCTTTCTATCGCTCAGGTAATGGTGAATTTTTACATGAAAAGATGATTCAAAATTGACGCATATTATTGGGTCCCTGGAAAAGTCATGATGCATTTTTGTATAAAAAATAATAGAAAAATATGTCATAACTTTTCCCAACAATCCAATATTTGAGCTGGGCAATACAAGAACTCAATCTACTGATGTGCATTTTTTTTTTTTTTTTTTAGATTCATGGAAAAAATTTTAAACCAGAAAGACACTTTATAAATCATCTGTTCCAACACTGGTGTTTTTAAAAATAGAAAGCAGACTCCCTACTGAAAGACATTTTCCTTACCCCACCCCAGACATCTCCCCTCATAACACTCAAACCCTAAGGACTGCTAGTCACATAGACCCTGTGACCTCACTGGGAGCTGAGCACAAGGGGTCTGGCCAGTTCTTCCAAAACCAGGTTCAACTGGGTGCAGGCCTCTCCCCTCTAAGTTCATGAGCCCTTCTCCAGGCTTCCTGCAATGGTTTCTACAACTAGAACTTTCCCACTGTCACACCAAAGTCCACCTTCCACCTAGGCTCATGCTCTGTGGGTATGCACACCTTTTTTTTGCCATCTGCTGATTGGTCACTGTCACTGGCTGAAAACTGGCTCCCAGAATCTGGCTCCCTCACACCTTTCGTTGCCACCCTGAAAGACCCCAACATTCATGTGAACAGAGATTCTTGCCTGGTCACATCCAGTGCCCTTTACCTGCCATTCCCATGGCTATGCCATCACTCTCGGGCAGCTTCATCTTGAAGTCCAATATGGCACCACCTCATCGCCTCCATGGTTTTTCAGCAGTGTTACTAACCCTAACTCATTATCTGTGTCCTTAGCCTCTTGGGCTTCATGTTATCAGTCAAACTCTGTGGAGCATCACTCAGTCCTGCTTTTCCTGTCTCTGCATGTTACATGTGGTGCTTTTAGACAGGGTCGTGTCTTGCTGCAATCCTCCTGCCTCAGCCTCCTAAGTAGCTGGGTCTACAGGTACATGCTGCCACAATAGCTTTTATGATAGGCCCAGAATCAAACCTGGACCTCTCCTGGGGTATCAGCCTACCAAAGAGCAGCTCAACCAGCCCATATCACCACAGATGGACCCTCCTGCCTCTCCTCTCTAATGCCAGCCCATAATTTGGGGTCAGTATGGCCACCTGCTTCCCCACTCCTGTGTTTGCACTGCTGAACACACATACAGGAACAGCACATGGAGATGACCACCAGACTGAAAGGACTGTGGGGTCTCCAGCTTCAAGTGGGCCTTGGCCAGTGTTCAGCAACTGTGAGCACATTCCTGTCACTCTCCTATCCCCGTATCTACAGCAGCATATAAACTACACCACTTCCCACAGACTGCAGGCGCAGCCAGAGCTCTCTTCAAACACAAAACTGAGTCTCAGACATCAATGTTCCTGGACCCAACAACACACCTACCCACACGAGTGGCCAAGCTACACTCAGCATTTCATGGAACGCTTGCCTATTTTTATATATCAACTAAGCCACCAAGGAGGGTTTGTCATTTCCTTTTGCTTCATGTTTGCTACAAAGTTGTGTGGCATTTTGCTATAAAACTGGTATATTGAAAAGGCTGTGTGTTTGGTAGGATTCTGGCCTGGCCTTGTAGCTTCCAAGTAGGGAGGCACCTGGCCCCTGAGGATGTGAAGATAAACCAAGAGACCCAGTCGAGGAGCTCCAGGTGCCTGAGATGCAAGTAAGAAAAGTCTGAAGACATGGAGGACCCCTGGCTCCTGGCTGACCACCTGATCCCACCTGCACACAACCCCTACCGCTCCCCACAGTATAGGAGTGAGGTCTCTGATACCCACCTTCCTTACACTGTGCCTGCCTGGAGCCCTCAGCAGGCACAGCCAGCCGCTAGCAGAAGTGCCCCAACCTAACACTGACGTCCCCACCTCTAATCAGAGGGAATTCTCCACGTGCAGAGAACAATGCTGTGACAGATGCAGCAGACTTTAAATCACAGGTCAGAACATGCCTTTAAAATTACTAGCGCATGAGTTACCTAATCAGACCGCAGCCTCCATTGTCCCTGCTGCCCAGTTCCTCAGGGACAGGATCTGAGCCCAGTTCAGCTCTGTGATGAGGGGAGACCAGGGGAGCCACTGGGGCAGATGGCAGTCGACAGAGACCAGGGACAGTGAGAACTGTTTACTGTGTGACCACAGGTCTCCAGAACACAGGCATCAGCAGCTGGAAACATCTCCACATGCAAGTATCACTGTGATCTTATAGGGAGGTCTTTTCTGTTTATTCTATTAATGATAACATCCTTCCTTCTGGAACAGGCTCATTATTCTTGTTTTCAATGATACTGAAGAAGGAAAAGTAACTCACTCTTCAGAGAAACCAAAAACTGGAATCCTTGCGTCCCTGGCAAGTAGCAACCATGGTTGAAGGAGACTCCTTAGGCCTGTGTTCTGAGCTGGGGACCAATGTGGAACTGCACCTCTCAGTGCTGATGGGAGCCACTCTGCACTTGTGTCAGGAACTTTCCGACCCTTCTCCCCAAGTGACCCACTTATCCAATATGAGTGATTCAGGGCTCCTTATTTTCTTCTTTGGACTCTCAGGCCAGTCTAGGGTTTGCACCAACAAGTGCTTTGTGATGGTCAATTTTATGTGTCAACTTGACTGGGCCATGGTGCCCAGATAGATGGTCAAACTTTGTTCTGGATGTTTCTATAAGGATCTTTTAGAGTGAGATCTATATTTAGATTGGTGGACTTTGAGTAAAGTCGATTGTTCTCCAAAACGACGTAAGTAGCCTTATCCAATCAGCTGAAGGCCTGAACAGAAGAATGATTTTCTTCGAGAAGAAGGAGTTGTGCAGCAGATAGCCTGCGGACTTGAACTGCAACATCGGCTCTTCTCTGGGTCTCCAGAGATTGGACTTGGTAGCCTCTATAATCACATGAATCAGTTCCTTAAAATAAACCTAGATAGACAGATCATCTCCTATTGATTCTGTCTGGAAAACCCTAATTCAGGCCTTCTAAAAATCAAATTTTTGAGGGACCAGGAGATGGTGTAGCGGTTATGTTGCTAGACTCCCACATGGCCAACTGTGGTTCAAGTCCCAGACCTGGTAGCTTGAAAATCACACTGGGCACGCATGCAAGCATTCCCAAGATCCCAGGAGGAGAATGGAAGAGTAAGGGATTACAGTGTGAATCACACACACTCAACGTGAATTCTCACTATCCCTCTCACTGTCTGTCTCTCTGGCAAGCACAAGTGTCTAAGGGAAAAGCCTCTTTTTTTTTTTTTTTTTTTTTTTTTTAAGGCAAATTGCAGACATTCTTTTTAAAAAAAAATTGAATTTCTCTTTTTTGGAAGGAGAGGCTTTTATGCTATAGAACGCATGTGCTCGCCAGAAAGAGACAGAGAGGCAGAAAGCGAGAAATCACTCCCCAGGGGGAATGGCCACATTGCAATCCCTTCTCCTCCATTCTCCTCTCTAAGCTGTCAGGTGATCTGTGTTCCATCACAGACCCAAATAGCCTCCTCCACACAGGAAGGCCATCTGTGACGAGACTCCAAAGTCGGATCAACTTCCAGTGAGCACAGTTGCTCCAGTTCGAAACCTAGCCTGCATGGACAGTCCAAAATGCACCCGCAGTGTTCTCCACCCATCCCACAGTCTCCTCATTTCCACTAAGCTTCATCCGCCCCTATGATCTGATCCAGTCCCTCCCTGTCTCTCCCAGGCCACTGTTCCATCAGAATAGGAGTTTCCCAAAGAATGTGGTTATGCCCTCTCACTTTAGAAAGTACATACATCATGCGGAACGTTTATGTATTTCTCCAGAATAGAGTTTTGGCATGCTTTGATTCGGAGTGCACAACAATCAGAGATAATGTTCTGCTTTCAAGTATCGATGAACTCTTATTTCCCAAGGGAAGGCAAAGCAGTTGTGCTGATAAGGATCATGGCACTGCCTCTGTGAGTGGGGCTTAAGAGAAAACAAACCAAGGGATAGATGGACCAGCTGGGCAGTGGGCAGGTGAAGGCCTGACCCCTGCACCGACCAGCATGCTCCACAGTCCACTGGGGGCTGTATCCACTGTGTGCCTGATGGCTAAAGACCCCAACCCAGAACTCTGCTTCCCCAAGACAGACCTTCTGGGCACTCTCCTCTCTTCTCCCCTTCTCATTCCTGTGCCCCAGAGAACAGCATGCAGCATGTACCTACTCCCTCATTCCCCATTCGTTCTCCTTGGAAGATTTTCATAAAAACAAAACAAAATGAACAAAAAACGCAATGATGCAGCAGTAAAAAGCAACACTCTACGAGGCTGAATAGTATGGGAAGGTTCCAGGTTCATATCCAGAGACTTCCTGAGTATAGCAGAAACTCATGTGCCCATGATCTGGGGCTAGCTGGAGGGAGAGGTGGATCACAACACTGGGTCCCCATTGGAGGTGCTGACTCTCTGGTTTTCTTGCTCATTTTATATATATATATATATATATAAATAAAATATGTTTATATTTGTAGCAAATACACATATAAAAACAAGATATTCCTTCATCTTTTCTGCCCCCAAACTCATTCCTCTCTCCAATATTATGCTTATTAGCACTACGGTATGTATCATTTTCAGATTTTAGTTCATATACTTACTACATTTTTTTTAGATTGCACTGTGCATTTTCATAAATGGGGTAATATTTTCAGTATTATTCAAGTTTCCTTTTTTCATTTGACAAAACAGAGATGCTCCTGTTCTAGTGCACATACATCACTTACTGTGTGCAGGGCCGTGGCCTGAGGCTTCATTCACACTTCTCAGTGGGAGTACGGCAGTCCCTTTCTAACTGTACTCACCCAGCCGCTCGTCCTCCAGTCTCACACCTTCCAGTCCACTGTGTCACCTGCCTGAATGGTCTCATAAAAGCCCAAATCTAATCCTCTGTTTCCCTGACTAAAAGCCCTGGTTGACTCCCGCTGCTTCTGGGGTAAAGTCCAATCAGTCCCGAGGTGGTTTATAAGGCTCATCACCATCCCTGCTGGCTGGCCTTTCCTCTTACCATAACCCTACACACCAGTCAGTCCAAAGTTCTTGCAGTTCCCCCAACATGCCAAACCTGGCACTGCCTCCTTGGCTTTAGGCCCTCGCCCGCCCTGTCTGCCTGGCAAACGCCTACTTGACTCCCGACACCCTGTTCAGTGGTCACTTCTGTGAGAAGCCCTTTCTGACTTCCTCCATTAGAATTTACTGCTTCCCTTGATGCGACCGCGTGGTACCACAGGCCACACCACAAGCAAAGCAGGCCCTGCCTGTACTGACTCACGTCTCCTCCTTGTCCTGCCGCGGGGTTGCATCTTAAGGAACAGGGTCTTATCTTACTTAACTTCTTAATCCCCAGCACACAGCGCTGTGTAGAACAACATAGTGGATGCTAGTGGTTAAAATAACAAGTCAATGTGGGGGCCACCTGGCGGTTAAGATGCTGGACTCCCACATGGCTGACCATGGTTCAAGTCCCAGACCTGACGGCTTACTTCCTCACTCTCCCTCTGTCTCCTTCTGTGAGCACATATGCCCTGTAGTAATTTTTTTAAAAAATAATGATAAATAAAATCAAATAAGTAATTCTAAAAAAATTATTTTTATAAAAAATAACAAATCAATGAACATATGTATATTAAAATAGAACTTGTTTGGTCCCAAATAATATTTTTAAATTATTTTTTCTACTTTTATTTATTATTATTATTATTACTGTTATTGTTTTAAACCACCAGAGAGAGAGGGACAGAGAGCAGAAGGGTGAAAGCAAGCTGCCCGGTCTGGAACTCAAACCATAGTCAGCCATGTGGGAGTCCAGCATCTTAACCACCATACCACCTGCTGGCCCTGGTCCCTAATAATATTTAAGGTGAATTACAAAAATATTGAAAATATACCAATACCAAAAAAAAATACCACTTTAAATAATGGCTTTTAAATAAGGCAAATAAAAATTAAGGGTTGGAAATGTGGTGAAATTATTATACTGACTGAAGCAGGCTAACAATGTGGCCTTGTAGCAGTCAATAGCACCAAGGAGCTTCCCGGAGACCGTAAGGTAAAAGTAAACTGGCTGCAAATGAGAAGCATAACTAGTTCTGACATGGTTACCAAAGAGAAGTCTCTCCCAGGGGACCTCAGCAAGGTCACCATGCAATGAGATAAGCAGCAGATAAAACATTTCTTCCACTTAACACTGGGACACATTTCAGAGGTTTCTCACAAAATCACTCACCACAAGCTAAAGGCTCCCCTCACACAATTAGGTAAATGCATTTTTATTGTGATGTGGTTCTACTTGGTTCTCTCACTGATGTGGTGGCCACACAACTGTATGTAGGGATACCGTCCTTAACATGGTTTGGACCACGGGTAGCTCTGAGAATCTGACAAAATGCTCCGTACTCTCTCCACAGAAAAACCACCTGACTTTTAACACTCTGCATCTGTTTTCAAGGGTTTATGGAAACCGGAAGCATATCCACAGACTCCCAGGTCACCACTCCCATCCTAGAAGAAAGATGCAACCTATAACCTCAAGACAGACCTCTATAAACAATACTCCCCCTGGCAGAGCTGCTCGCTGACCTCCTAGAGAGAACTATGTGCTCTAATGTCAGTCACGGCAGGCATTAGGTGCCTTCTAGAAAAACACAAGCACTGGGCCAGCCAGTGGCATAGTGGTTAAGGTGGCTGGATCCCACATGGCCAACAGCAGGATTTGAGTCCCAGACCCAGCAACTTGAGAAACACACCAGGAGCATGTGTGTGCATGCCCAGAATCCTGAAAGGAGAAAGAGAGGAGAAGGGATTGCGGCGTGATCATCCCCTTCAGGGGGATGTGCTCGCACTCGCGCATGCTCGCTCTCACACTCTCTCTGGTGAGCACACACACCCTCTGGCAAAATTAAATTTAAAAAAGAAAGAAAGACTCATGTGCCCAACAGTATTTACCCATTTCTGTAGGCGATACCCATGGGCAAGGCCAAGATTCTCCAGAATTGCACAGCATAAAAGCTCTACAGTTCCACATAATTAGGCACAGCCAAAAATAATTTAGGTCTGGAAAGTATTCAATGTAGGCATAACCAAACAGGTATCCCAACTGGTCATGTCTTTAAATCTTATTAAAATACTTGGAGAATACCTAACTTTGAGTAATGTAACTTCCTGCCATGTCCCCCAAGAAAAATGAGTTGAGTTGCAAAATGTATAAGTAAGGAACTCACTGAATTCTCCTGCAGTATGAGAATATTAGCTACATTACTATTAAAAGTTGGGTAACAGGTCTAGCGACAACTTTAACTTTAATTTAGGACAAAAACTAAAACATGTATTTCTTGGTAGGAAACAGATAACAGCATCAGCTGATTTTGGATTACTTTCATATCATAATAACCTATATCAACCGTTTAGTATTTTTATCTTTTTAAGGGAAAGCATACTTCTAGTTTATTAAAAGTCATCTTAGATCATTTATAAATATATTTTTAATGAAAGATCAGCTTGGAGATCACAATTTGTATCCATAGAATTTCAATAAAAACCCACAACATTAGAAGTTTCTGATATATAAGGGGTCAGGAAATTAATATTTAATTTAATAGTGGGATATAGCAGAAATGCCAGGACTAAGGAATGTCCACTCCTCGGGAAAAATAATGACCTAAGTCAGGTGTCAGTAAACGCTCCATGCAGGGCTAGATAATTAATATTTCAAGCTTTGAGGGGAATCTCCAATTTAACGTGAAAGCAGCCACAGACAGTGTCTAAATAAATGAGGTAGCTGTGTTCCAATAAAACTTCATTTACAGAACAGCCGTGTGCAGGCTTTAGGCCTTGGGTTCTGGCTTCGAAAGCCTAAACATGAAAAATTAATGACTTTGAAGAAAACAAGCTTCTTTTACAGAGGGG